AAGTGACGAGAGTTGACCGATTGTACTAGTATGGTCACTACGCGAGTGAGGTGGCCAAAAAAACTTGGTAAAACAAAAAAAAAAAAAAAAAATTACCAACCGGCGGCTCCGAGTGAGTGGTTGGCGGACCGAGCTCTTGACGCCCAGGATGAAAGCGAAAAGTTATATTTGGATATTGTGCCAGACTTTTACTATAGTACCTCACATAGCATCGGCTCGATTCTATTCCTCCCTCTACTGTACCTCCGTTCGAACTATGTAAGTGAGAGCATCGGGTTTACCCCGCCGTTCACTACCGTGTGCGTTAGTTCATATGGGTGTGGAAGTAATCCCTGGCTGTAGGAAGGGTTTCCCATTGAGGAACACGGTTCTTTGATCGTCCCGGTCCAGCATGACACAAGTCCATTCGGTTTCGTTAGGACCTCATGATATGATGTTCTGAAATGATGCGACAAGAGCCTGGAAGCCCCCTCCCCCGTAAGGCATTTGGAGAAAATCCCCCCTATTTCTCTGTGCTCATGCCCGTGGAGTGGTGGTGGCGGTGGAAGATTTGAATTCTTCTGGTGCTCCCCTACAAACCAGATAGAAATAACAAATGCCGAGTAATGTCCCGGCTCACCCCTAACCACCAACATACATTTCCCACAACTCCATTCAGTGGTTTCCTGTATCCGACAACACTCAACCATGTCATTCGCGCTTAGGGGTCATCGGGTGTACCGTAGCTTTCCTGAACACAGCAAGTGTAGAGTTGACTACGATCCCGATGCAGCTTAGCACAGTACAGTTCCGTACTGCAAGTGTACAGTACCGTACTGTACACTTCAACATGGAACACAGGAGGATATGGTACCGGATATCACAGCAGAGACTCCATTAAGAACGACGGGGGTCTGCTTCTGCGTATATGTTCCTAGAGACAGAGAAATCCAGAGAAAACTGTATGGTAGCACCATAGTACAGCAGAATGAGGCCGTCCCGCGGTTCATCGGGCCTCACCTTACGTGTCTCCCACTAATGTGGGCCTTCGTTTGCTACTCTGTCATGGCAGAGCGGTAAACTGTGGCAACGGAAATTCTAGCACACCGATGAACCATCCCATCCCATCTCATCCCACTCCTCCCTCCCTTCCTCCCCCCCTCCTCCCTTCCTCCCTTCCTCCCCCCCTCCCCGAACACCCTTCCCTAACCCCATAGCACGATACCCCCCTCTCCGACCTCCCATCCATCCCTCCCCCCCCCCCTCCATCCATATCCAGTTTTACTCTCTACCCCCCGGCTACTACCATTGTTGCCCTAGTCTGTCGCTTTCTCAGTCGTGAGAATACAAGTACGAGTACAGTGAGTAAGAGCGGTATCTTGCTACCGGGATACAGACGCCGAACCTCTACTATCACTAACGCCCTTCCTAATTAATCCTAGCCTACTTCTGCTTCTGCCCGTCCTTACCCAGACAAGCCAGATATTCTAGTGTCCAACAAAGTATCATACCCAGCAGAAAGGGAAAGGAAACCAAAGAAAAGAATAGAGATAAAAGGGAAAAAAAATGTGAAAAAAATAAAAAAAAATGACAGCCAGGAACATAGGGACGCACGTACCGTACCGGTGACACAACTGCAGGTTCGCACCGCAATTCTGTCCCAGATGGAGTCCACTCTCTATCGGCTGTTGGTCAGATTTGCCGGAACACCAGAAAAATACAAGTAAATAAACTACCTCCATCTTCTATCTACCCTTCACTTTCTCTTCCACTACCGCTTACTTACTTACCTAACTGTCCACCACATACATACATACATACCTGATACCACTACATACCCGCTCTTTTCTATCCTAACCGACATTTGTGCATAATCCCAAAAAAGATTCTGGACCAGCTTATACACTTGGACTGGTGTCCCTTAGTCAGGGGTTCCGGCTACTCTTTATTAGAGCTGGCTCATCCTCCCGTCCTCCATTTTGGGTTTTCTGTGCCCATGCATTACTTTCCTATCGTCATTTCATTTTCAACTTCCTTTCTTCCTTGACTGGTATCAAAAAGTCGGCTTTTTATTTTAATCAATTCCGTTGTTGTTCGTTCCTTTCTTGTGCCATATCTTCTATCAGGTTCACGCCTCAAATTTTGTCAACGTTGGGATAACACAGGATTCCTAATTACAGCCTTAAGATTTCCACAGCCTGCCTTCTGGTCAAGAAATTGGGGGGTATATATATAAAAGATAATCCACATATTCTACACAAGAGAATTATAGACAAAAGCGAAGGGTCAACTCTCATATCTAGCAATGGCTTCTATCCCGGAATCGAGACACGGAATCAGAGATTTTATCTCAGACCTTCCGCCAGAGCTGTCCAGGCTTATACTCTCGCAACTGGAAATTCAAGATATTTTTATGTGCGCCGCTGTTTGTCGTGCCTGGCGCTCCCACACCAGAAGCAATGACAGTTTGTATATCCCGCATCTTCTCCGGAAATACAATAATATTACACGCGGACGGGATCCGATACCCCCGACGGTGAACATTGGCCAGGAGCTACTTCACCGATTCCCCCACATGTCCGCGTCTTCCTACTTTTGCAACCCAAAATCGCTCTGGGATCTAGCACTGCGGGACATGCATTTGCAGAGCAGTTGGGAATCTGGAATTCCTTGGAGGAAGGCGAACCTCAATGCTTGCATGAAGCATACAGACATTATCTTTTCTGTCCTGATCGACCAAGTATACAGCCTGGTTGTTAGTGGGGACCGGTCTGGTGGTGTTGTTTTCTGGAGCACACGGACAGAGGAGATGATCAAGGAGCTCAATCTCGCCCCAGAGCCCGCTGAGGATGCTCCTGTTATCAGCCCCGCGATATCTGCTATGGCCCTAACGGGTGATCAATTGGTTATCGGGACATGGGTATGTATCTTGCATTGATTCCATTCGGCCCCGGATAGCCCACCATGCTGATTTTTTGTCTCTTTGGTGCACCCCGCTAATACCAATTGTCTTGCCATTCCAGCATAAGATTGTACACGTTGCGCATAGGGATGGCGAAGACATCCCCATCGAGAATCGGGCGTTTTCCTTAGTATCAAGTTTCCCGGTTCCTTCACCAGTTATCAGCATTCTCCTTGAGGGAGCAACGTGTATTGTTGGCTGCCATAGAGGTGAAGTTCTGTTTTATGATATTGGGGTCCCTGGAAAGAGCCCCAATCCCACCCACGGGGAAAACATGAACCCTGATGGCAAGCCGAATCATCTCCTCACCATCCAGATCCCAGAACCAAGAAATAGACAAATCAGACACAATCTTTCCATGCACTACCGCAAGCCCTTCCTTTTCACATCATCCGATCTAGTATCCCAATTGACCCCCAAGAGAATGGACCCGGATAACAAACGGGACCTCTGGGAGTATGGGGAACGGGAGATAACAATCAAAAATTGTTCCGGGAATCTGTCGGGACTAGGTCCTGACTACCTGTGCATGCTGCGACCACTATATACTGAAGGAGACCTACTCGTGGCGTGGCCAGACCTATCCGTGTACAGCCTCGGAAACTTCAATTCCGGTCTGGTCTGGTCCCCAAAGACCAAAGTACTTGTGGAGAAGGCGCACTGGCAGTCTGTGAGATGCATGGGCACTGTGGACGGGTTTTTCCTAACGGGTTCCTTCGATCATGTGCGCCACCCACAGCCTCTTTACCCCAATATCCCCGATATCACCTTACCAGACTACGCGCTAAAACCTAAGACAGACCGTGCGAGTATTCAGTGATGATGGGACACCAGTCTACGAGCCATTCATCCATCGGGGAGCTGTCAACGATCTAGCCGTAAGTACACAATTGAACGCCAAAGAGTGGCGTGGGGGCGGATGGATAAAATAGTGGAGGGTCCTTAACTGATCTAAACCGTTGGTAGACTGATCCTTGCTTCTTTGTGAGCGTATCTGACGACAAAAGTGTGATGCTATGGGATTTCACCCCGCCGTCGTATGAAGCTGGGGGATCCACACTCTCGTCACCGTCCGTCACCTCCACCCCCCCTTATTCGGAGTCCAGCGGTTCACCGGCAACCAGTCCTCCTTCTACCCCTGGTCAGTAGCTAACCCCTCGCTCATATAACAACCACGAACCAGAAGGTATGATTCCCACACTCTCTCTTTCTTTGTATTACGTGCCCAACTCTCACCAACCCCCATATCAAGGCTACGAGAACCCCACGAAAAAGATCCGCATCACGAAGGAAAGAGGTCACGATACCCCCATAAAGCACACATATCAGCCAATATTAACCACACTCAGGCAGCGAGCCTGGGGGAAAAGAAATAAATCCGGAACGGGAACCACGCAACCAGTCAAGTCAACCCATGTGATCCTAGAATCAATTACTCCTGTGGACGACGGAGTGGGTGGATACTTATCCCTAGCCCAGTCGACCTGAGTTCGGAAAAGCGTTCAGAGAAAGAATGATATAAAGTAGCCACCGATCCGACTCGCCCATAGCTTACCATTCCCATCGCACCGCATCATAGACCGTACAGCTTCATACCCCACTCTCACTCTCTGCTCTTTCCAGCTCTTCTTCCTTTTTCTATTTCACCTGTTCCCCTTCCTCCCCCCCCCCCCCCAAATCCCTTTTGTTTTACCTTTATTTAGTCCACTTTGTTGTTTTCTTGCTTTTCTTTCCTCGTATCTTCTTTGGTGCTTTAGCAAGCAGGAATTTGCAGTCCATATCATATGGCATGTTGTTGCATTGAGATAGACCTTTTTCTTGTTTTGGTGGGGGGGGGCTTTTTTGTTTCTGGCTTACCATCATTAGTCAGTAGTTTCTTTAACCTGCGCTTTGTTCTGATTTTAGCTTTAAACATTTTTTTTCTCTCCCGGACTGGTCTGGTCTTGCCGGCCGGGTATAAGATTCTTTGTTTTTGTTTTTAACTAGTAGGCGTTACGATATTGTTATTTAAGCTACGATAGTACTGCATAAGTGTCATCCTGTTGAGAGCCAGTATGATACGATAGATTATATTACCTGATGACTTGATATAATTTGCGCAGTATCATAACGTATAAAGTGAACACTACGGTAACCACTACTCCCCACTACTACAGTCGGGTATCATATGATACTATGTCACTTGCATCCTCCACCTACAACAGGCTACTTGTACAGTACAGCACAGTACGGTACCGTACCGTGAATATCAAAAACTATCTCATGCCGTGCAATACAATACAATACAAATAAAAACACAATAAAAAAATAAAAAATACAAAACCCCAAGTTTTTAAGCAACAACCAAGCCCCACTGCACTCATCTACCGAATAGGCGTGCGCTCCGAGTGTGTGTCCCAACCTAACCTGAACCTGACCGAACCTTCGCTCCTCCCTCCTTCCCTTCCCTTCCCTTCCCTTCCCTTCCCTACCCTCGCCCCACCCTATCCGCTGCCGAAGATGGCACACGCAGTACCGTACAGTACCGCAGGACTCCTAGCCGAACCATGTCAACGTGACCGCCGTGAGAGAGCGCGTGAGTTGTATGTATGTATGTATGTATCATGAACCACTCGGCAGGTTTTTTGTTTGTCAGAGTGACTGATGGGCGGAGTGGGTGCGATGGCGCATTGTACGAGTAAATTAAGTAAGCCCGGTCGATCCCCACGGTTAGGTGGATCGGCGGATGGATGGATTGATGTGGAAGGAAGGAAATAAAGAAAGAAAGAAAAAAAAGGTTTGTAAAAAAGGGTTCCGGGTATACCTTGGTCAAGTGCGAGTACGATAGGAGTGTGATAAATTAATTATTTCTGCGATCCGCTCGTTTGGGTACAGTGCTGTACTGTACAAGTACAGTACAGCAGCCCTACACCACCGATAGATATCGAGGGCGGGTAGTACTAGCATTGTATCATAAGTATGTATCATGGAGTGTGTAAGGCACGATAGGACGGGGCCGGACCGCTCTGCTGCCCATCCGCCGTGCACATCCATGCTATGTCCAATTCCATCCGATTGAGGGTGGCATGGGAACTCCCTCCACTCTGAAGTGTATCATACGATAATGGCATAGCACCTTTCTCTCTCTCCCTCTCTCTCCCTCTCTCCCTCTCTCCCCTCACCCTCTCTTTCTTCCTGGCCAGTTATTACAAGTCCCCAATGCACTGCGCGCCACCAGTACCGGTACCCCACAGTTGAGCAAATTCACCAAAGATGAGCGCAAAGCACAATGCCAGGAAGAACAGAGAAAAAGAAAAAAAAGAAGAAAAAAAGTAACAAAAGCGACTAAATCACGATGCAAATCAAGACCATAAATCAGTCTTCCATTCGATCATCTATCCACTCATTCATTCATTCCCCGCGCGCGCCACTACAATGCCCTCCTCGTCCTCACTTCTAAAATTCAGGTGCTTCCAATCCTCAATCTGCCATACCCGCGTCAGCATACCCTGGGTTCCTGTCCTCACCAAAAATAGTTCCCACCCCCCAAGACACACGTTCAAGTAAAGTAAAAGGTAGGATCTCACCTCTTCAATTGTGCTGCGCAAACGATCGCGGACAGCCTCGACCGCGTGATCACCGAGGAATAGGCGGAGGGGGGGATGCGCGGAGTGGCCGAGCTGCAAATGGATGTTTCCACAATGTTAATAATTATTACAAGTTCCAACGGTGGATGGGGGGGGGAGGGGTCAAAAATGAAGGGATGGAGAGAGGTGTGTATGAGTGTGTGTGGGTTAATTTTGGTATCATTCCGTTTTTTTGTTTTTGTTGTGTGGTCATCGTCGCTGTCGCTTGCGCTAACGCACACCCCAGAGAGGAAAAGAGCGGGGACGTACGCGCGATACATGTCAGACGCATAAATATGCGAGAGTGTGGGAAGTCATTTTCATTCCTTTCTGGAAGGCTTGTGGAAGGTTTATGTTGCGAACAGGAGAATTAATGATGGTGAAGCATGACAGTGGTTCCTGGCAGATGGTTCTGTCTTATTTTGGAGGTGGGCGGGCATACAAACACCTAATCGCAGACGAGGAGCAGGGTCACTTACCTACTACCTACATACCCACCTACGCATGTAGCAGGGAGGAAGGAAAGGGTGGGCTACCTACCGTTGATGTTTCTGTTCTTCCTCTTTCTTTTTCCTTACTCTCCCCCGCATTTGCCCGTTCCATGATGATTGGCTATAATGTGCAGTGTGCGTAGTGCCATTGCAATGCACGACAGATATGTAGGGAGGGGGTATAGGCAATACATGAAACGTAGGTAGGTGGTGATGACGATGGTGAGAGGTGAGAAATCAATACTTTACCTCCCAAGTTATTTCTGCGATCCGAATAGCGCTTGTAGGTTCTTTGTACTTGAGCCAGTCAATCATTCGTGTTGCGTGTTGCGCCGGTGAGTTGGTGGCTCTATATGCATCTGCTGGGGGCTTAAGCAAAAAGTGCCCCCACATTGGCGCTGGGCCACTGAGGTTCTCGTCCGGCCTGCTTTGTCAAAAGGGGGATCAGGCCTTGGTTAGCTTATGGGAGAAGCAGGTGAGATGTGATATCGGTTTGATGTGTCGGGTGAGGCAAGACGGGGCCCTAACTCGTCTCGCCTAGATAGACCAGGCACAACTATCGTCACCTTGATTCCCAACGGCTCAACCTCGTACATCAACGATTCGGTGAGGCCTTCTACAGCCCACTTGGTTGCACAGTATGCTGTTCGCCTTCTTAGAACTGCTAAAAATTATTCGGCGGTTAAGACGGGAGGGGGGGGGTATACGCCCTAGGCCCGGTATCCCAAGTGTGCCCGCGGTGCAGCTAAACACGATATACATCCCCGATCCCCGCCCGCGAAAGTACGGCAATGTTAGTTGGAATATGTTTGCCGCACCAATCAAGTTCGTCTCGAACTGTGCACGGATCTCATGTTCGTCCTGGTCCTCACAGGCGCCGATGATGCCTTTCATCACATCAAACAAAATCAGTCGAGAGGCATCAGGTCATCAAGCAACCACGTACATACCATACCCAGTGCAGCTGTCACAATATCATATATGAGTTAGCAGGAGACATAGTAACAAAACAACAGACAAGAAAAACGTGTTCGAGGGATCATTTCTCCCGTCTCAACTTCCATATATATATATCAAACAGCTTACTTAACCACGATATCAACCTTCCCCCAACGATCCATGGCGCTAGCAAACACCTTAGAGACCGTATCCCGAACTCTAACGTCACAGACCAGTCCTTGGCACATTTGATGCCAGCCCTGCATAACAGCCTCCTCTCCAGGGAGGTTTCTCCCAACAGCAGTGACACAATCACCCCTCGCTAGGGCTACACGGCAAATGGATCTACCCAGGTGACCAGTTGCTCCAAATATCTGCAGATTGTTAACCACCTGAACCGAATGACCGCCCCATATAAACTAGCCAGGAACTGCCTACCAGCCATACTGCTTGCTCCGAAGGCTTGGAAGGAGAAGGGGGTTCGGAAGACGCGGGGAGGTAGGTACGAGGGTATATATTTGAAGACTGAGTCGAGCTTTCAGGATTATGTGCTGTTTGATAAGTATCCATTACTTTCCCTCTCCGCCTGAGGCTGCCGTAGAAAGTTGAAGAATTGGACGGTGTATGTAGTCCAAAATTCCCTTCTCCGGAAAGTGGGCAAAAAGCACAGCAAGACAACCGCCCCTTCCCCCCATTTGAGACAGAAAAAAAACAAAAATTTCCTGACCTTACTAAGAGAGGAAACTCCAACGACATATCACACGGTTCAAGTACCGGTACCGGTACAGGTACAAGGGTAGATCATGAATTCATGGTACAGTGCATAAGTAATGTCTCAGTAGGTGTAGTACACTTACAATATAACATCATGAGAATAGTGTTTTATTTTTGGACCAGGAAGATCAATCAAGTAAAATCATAGTGAGGAATATTAATAAATTCATAAGTTCATCAAATCAAACACTCCCAAAGGCTAATTGTAGTGTGGTAAGTGACTCCTTAAAATCTAGTCCCATTTTATACACTCCAGGCGCTATTGGTCAACTCAAAACTCTGTAGGGGAGATCATGCTATTCCTGAAAATGTCATTACCTATATCTAGAGAATATATTGGTATACTATTTAATATTGTATTTCCTGTCTAAAGATGTAATAACTGAAAATACCTACAACTTGAGGTGAGAGGATATCTTGGTAAAGGATTCAGTTTAAGAGGTTCTGCACCACAAACATATTTTTTCTGTTGAAATGTTGCTTCGGTTGCAGTGTACCAAAGTGCCGCCTAAATCACCTCGCACTACCCCTGCTCCGTACCATGAATTCATGATCTACCCTTGTACTTGTACTAGTACAGTAAGTTACTGTATTCAAGCTTTCACCGTATTTGGCGTCGCCCCGAGTACTAGTACTCGTAGAGGTTGATTAGCTCGAACTTAGCGCCAAGACGCAATAAGCTTTTTAGCGAGAATACGCTCCCGGCGGGTCTATCTCCCTGCCCGATGGTTTAAACCCCGACAAGACCCGACTACAAACAGACTGAGCAAGTGGCCATGATCAAATGTAAAGAACTTGCCCTCTTGTCCTAGGAAAAAAATCTGTTTGGCCATTAGGCTAGTAGATCTATGGAATAGGCTACATTAATGTAAGAACGAACAGACACCAACAAGATTATTGATCCTGAATTTAATAAGGTTTCTATGTGAACCGATCATCGCAATTCACGGAAAAACCATGGGCGCTTGCCTTCCAAGGGCTCAGCGGGTACCTTCATTGGAACCGGAATTGACTTTCCAAACACTTCCATGCCTACAGCCACCTTGCGTTTTGACTCCAGAGGCGGTGCCCCACTAAGCGTATCACCGCTATCCCTCGCGACTACAGGAAATAACACACCACATTCCCAGTTCTTGCAATTCATCTTGGGTGTTTTAGTGGTCCTATCGATGACTAGTTTTCCCCTTATTAAAAAGTTAATACAATCGGAGGTTTAGAGAGGAATATGGAGCAAAACTACCATGCGCTTTCGCTCAGATTGGCAGAACCCACATATGCCCAAGCATCGACCTTCCCGGCGGAAGCTTGTAGTTGTCTCGAGGGACGGGCAAACAGCATCTACGGAGAGGAACTCTAGTGAGCTCTTGTTTCCCACACATTAGAGCGAAGATGCTTACCTTATTATGCATCAACAACCCATCTCGAACACTAACGCAATCCCTCATCACTGACCTTGGAAAGGTCGGAGAATCCCACCAAGAAGAATTAAAACAAATTGTACCTCCCGAGTTAAACCCCTTCTTGCTAAGGCGAACAGTCTCGTAGGATGGAAAATAAATGCGAACGTGATTCATGATCCGTTCCTGGTTAGTCTCCTCGTCAAACCCAGTTTCCGAATCACCGTCTGTGATTTGGTCACCCATGACCAATACGCTCTTCTTCTTAGCACCCTTGACGGACTTGTTTGAGCAACGCTGCAACTCTTTGAGGCCATCATCGCCCATCGCAGCCCGGTACATGTTGGATATAAACCCCATGTTCGCAGCACCTAGAGAGGAAGTCTAACCACATAAGCCCAATTCACCCCAAAGCAACCCCGCATTCTTACCACAAAATCAAATTCCAAACCTGGGCCGGACGAAAGTCCAAGTGCCTTCACAGCAGTGCCTAAACCAGAGTACCCAGTACGGCGCCAGTCCTTGCCTGCATTGCTTCCTCCTATCGAATGAACAAAAGCCATGTCCTTCGTCCTACTAAAATCGTATCGATAGAGGCCGTTCAAGACATCCTCAGGCATCCCTTTAGCGGCACAAAAATGATGTAGTTCTTTTGCAAAATGTGTTTGGTTATGGTTTGGTTTTGGAAGCCGGGGGAGGTCTATGATAAAAACTGTCTACCCCGGGTGTAAGTTAGCAATGTCGAGACAACTCTGTGTACGGATTTGGAACACATTTTCCATGACGCCGCCCAGCTCTCCCCAGTCGTAGTCCGTAAGATTTGCGCTCGGAACAGCAACTCTTAACCACCTTTGGTCGCCATTCATATGGAACAATAACATGAGCTTGCTATGCATACAGCTCACCTGTCCCTGCATTGGCGGGAGGACTAATGTCGTCCTTGGCAAACTACCGAGTTGCTGAACCTTATAACTCCGGTCTTGTTCCTCCTTAGCATGCATAACCATCACAAGCCTCTGAATTGTGTCCAAGGGGAGCTTCTTGAGGACCCAATCGATATCCCATTGAAAAGCGGAGAGAACAGCCACACAAAGAGACTCCTGGTCATTATTTAGTGATATCCTCCTGGAGTTCGAGAAGGCAACAAACCTTTTGAAGAACCTCCTCAAACGTAATCTCAGTATCGGTTTTAGGGTATCCGTCCGCCCAGGTCTTCCTGACAACGCCGTTAGGATATTGAAGAAACCTCGGAGTAGCATCGGGAGAATCGCTATCATTCCCCGACTGACGGGTACCGCGAGTGTTTATCTGCTTCCTATTGTCCGCAGAAAATCCGGAGGGCTCGAATGCGGAAGCTTTGTTTGGAACGGAACCTCCACCAAAGAAACAGCTCAGTCTACCGGCAGCCTCAGCAGGTTTCGGAGCCTCCGGAGCAGCCCCGTCCAGGAGCAAACCAAACTCCGGTGGTGATCTCTTCAATTCAGCCAGTCTTGCCAAACGCTCTCTCTCCATCTGTGCTCTATTTCCAATCATTCGCAGGAGTCCGTCAGCCGGCTCTAATACTATTGCTGGGCCATTCACACCAGGAATGCCAACCGCACGAGCTCTCACGGAGGAATTGTCACTCGCCTTTGGCGCCTTTCTCGTAGCATTGATGCCGTCCAGGATGCCGTCATCTTCCTCGTCGTCGGATACGATTTCAATAACGTCCATCTTGCGTTTTTTAGCTCCTCGTTGAGGATCCCTTGAGCCTGACGCATCTCCTTGTGCTGGAGGGTGTGGGGACTCGAGCAAAGAGAGCCGAATGGCCTCCGCAATTTGACGTTCCTCATCTTCGTTTGCGCCGCTGTCAGAGTCAGAAATTTCATACGTATGCTCCATGGTTAAAAGTTCTTTCTCACTCTGCCGAGATATGGTGGGGGGGCGAGGCGAACTATAACTGGCTTGTTGAAGTGGGCGATTGAAGTTTGTAAGTATAGCTGATAGGTCGGGAGACGCGTTTTGGGTTGCGAGCCAACGACCCGCAGAGCCCTAAATTTGTCCTCCTTGCGCAACAATGCGCCAGGCCGTCGATTGCCAAGAAGGGCGATCGTGGACCAGCAACGACTCACTGTAATAGACTCACCGTAACAGACCCACAAATTGTTTTTTCTATGACCGGTACTTTGTTGCCCTCAGGCATCATCTATGAGCACATCATATTGTACTGTACATGAATCGTACCCTACAGCAGTCGCGAAAACTTTGCAGTTCCAACAATTGTACTATCAGTACTCAAAGCAAACACGAAGCGACAAGAAACAAGAGATTCTGCTAGCTATAAAGAAAGTTACATCCAGAGCCTTCCCCTCAGGCGAAAGGTTCACCTCCTCCCATCACTTGCAGGTTTCAAGCATCTTCCCCACAACCCCCATTAAAGTCTCATTTTCCAGCGCTGAGGCCACCCGTTCCTTGTCATTCAGCTGTTTGTTGACCTGTTGCCCAGTTGCATGGGTTCCCTCCCTTATCCTGACATCGAGTCTGAATCGTGGCGGAAGTGCTTGCTCCAGCCGTACCCGTACACCCAAGCCAATCACGGTGGCGAGTGAACAGTGATTGATTGTGGGAGTAAGCTCGACGAGGACGTTGGATATAATCTCGGAGGGGTCATCGGTGACTCTGATATGTTGGAGCTGTACGACGGCAAGCTCTCCGAGGGTCAACGGATGCTCTGGGTCTGAAATGGTAGCGATGAGATCTAAATAAGACTCATTAATATCCTCTTATCTTCCTTCTGTTCAACCACCTGCTTGTTGCCTGTGCTCACCATAAATCTCCTGCTCGTCAATAGGCTCAACAACAGAATCATCCTGGCTTTCATCAGGGTCGGAAAATTCAACATTGTTACCCACGAAAGGATCCTGAGCATACGCCGGGACCAAACCGCATGTCAAAGGAGAGGTTACTTTTTTCTGCTGCGCCTGCCGCCGCGTCGGCAGGTCAGAGGCATTGAGGATAGTTGGGTTGGCATTCTTTCCGTCCATGGCTGGTGTGATGCGATGGGATTTTTCTGGTGAACAGTGTAAGAGATGTGTTGGTGGGTTACCGCTAGCCGACTAAAGTAGACCATACCCCAACGGTGCGGCAACACTGCAGAAGTCGAGGAAAAGCACGGGACGCGCATGATAAACCTCCAAGCAACATGATTCATCAGATTATCGTATACAAAGTTTTGTGCAAGATCTGGAACAACATCTGAATACTGTAACCGAGCACAGTAGGGTGTCTGGCCAGTAAGTTAAATTACTCAGTAAGAGACCCCAAGAGAAGGCGTAGCCTCAGCGCAGCAACAGTGCTCGAGTACTCGAGTATCATACCCTAGGTCGAGGAGAGCACCCCAACACCATCTTTCCCAAACACCATCTCGTGAAGTGGTCATAATTTGTCACTCGATACGCGCTTCTTCGATAGATTCAGAGAGCTCGATCCATCTTGCTGAGCCCCAAGTTTATTGCCATACCCCAGCCCGGTTCTCTATCAGGAACAAACGTGGGATAAGCAAATTACGGCATTCGAGCACAGGCTTCCTGTTTTCTTTTTTTCTTCCCTTTTCTTTCTTCCCTTTTCTTTCTTCCCTTTTTTTCCACCTTTTCCACTTGCGGGGTACCGAGCAAGGCTTTGTTTTGCGCACTGGGCGCCAACAAACCCCTCTCTTAAGCACTCGAGAGTCCAGTACCGGTAGGGTTTTCGGGAATCTACAAGTACTCAACACACCGCATTGGGCTCCAGTACCCTCGCGTAAACACCACGACCAGTTGACCAAAACAAAACAAAAACGAAATTGGTAAATCTACCCAAACATAGTCATTCATTCACGGTGTACGGTACTTGTACTGGTATCCCCTCAGAGAACTCCGGGGGTAAGTTTGTCAACTGCATCCCTTCACACCTCGCTTTTTCCAAGGCCCCCCCCAGCGCTTCTTGCTTCCACTTCTTCCTCACTTGCCTTTTGCGGCCAGTTTTGCCGCTGAGGGCAGCATAAAAATCATTGGGAGTTAAGACGCGGGAACTGAAGACTGGACGAATGGAACGAGGTGGAGGCTCAAAATTTGCCAAGCTTTTAACATGGGTGTCGAACCGGAGGCTAACATGCTCACCCCCCTGACTGGACCTCAGTAGCCCATTCATGGGTTGGGAAGGAGGGTTGAGGGCTTAAATTTACTTTGTACCCGTGCTCGTATCATACAAGTACGAGTAAATATCATACTATGATTGTACTGTACAGATTTGTGGATCATGGACTGGCGGCTCACATCGCTGCTTTCTCGGTAGCTATGCTGCATGCATAGAAGGAGGAGGAAAAAAAAAGAGGGGGGGTAATTGATCGGTTGTCATGAGTTTTGTGCTGATTTTTGGGTCGATACGACTACCGCCGTGTCCTGGGGATGCTCGAGTATGATACTCGAGTACTCGTACAGTACCGGTATCCCACCTGCACATAATATGTGATATCGTAAGATATGTTGCGTGCAGAAGCCTAGTTGCCGGGCTACCTATGTATTACCGGTACGATACTGGGATGCTGCACAAATGGGTTGGGGTGGGAATCCTCAACTTTGCTTTTCGGTCAACTTATTGAAGGTGAGGAGCGAGGAGATTCCGGTCCATGATCTGAACATCGTCAGCCGTGCAACTGAACGCAACCTTCCACATTTAGGTTGAGAAAATTATATAATCTGTGTAGCTGCAGCTGAGGAGGGGTGGGGAGGAGGAGATACCGGTAGTAGGTAAGGTCGGATGTCTGTAGCCGTGATTGAGAACCGCAGAAAGATGTTTCCGTCGAAACCACAAGTAACAGTTCACCATCGTCCGGATCACCATTTCCTTTGTTTCGGCACACACCAAAGCTCCTTTGTCCTGGGGAAAAATCCAAGACGAACCAACCCACCGAAGCACAAAGCTATTGTCGAAAATTGATAGTAGGAAGCCCTACTACCGGTAGTACTTCTCACCCATATCATACCGTATCCTGACGAAGTGATAACAATAGCACGGGTACGAGTACAGGTAATAACAATAATAAGAATCTTCTATTGGTCATATTTTATTTGTTTCCCCAGTCTCACTGACCTGTATCAGGGAAAGCGTGTTTCCTCATGACTGTCGGCTTTTGGTTTGGTTTCGGTATGATTGGCGAGAGAGGGACGATCGTGGACACGAAGTCGTCTTGTCAGTTGGCGGTCGCGACGACTGAGTTCTAGGGTTTATCATGATTTGTTTTTTCTTTTCTTTTCTTTTCTTTTCTTTTCTTTCTTTTATTCTTTTCTTTTTCCTTTTTCCTTTTTCCTCCTTTCCTTTCCTTTTTATTTCTCCTTCCCTTTCCCTTCTTACTTACTTTTTCTCGCTTTCTGCACAGTGGGTATTGCCCGCTGTGTTATCCAAGGAACAGAGCAGGGGGGGGGGTTGTCAGCGGGAGCGGTGTGGTTGGCTGTGGCTGGTGAGGTGACGGAGAATGTACCGATAGAGCGAAATACCGGTATGTCATGCTGGTTTGGAGGCCTCGCATCTGTATCGCAAAACGGGTGGCGGGTAAACATCTTATCTGCACATCCTGGCCCCGAAGAACTTCCAATGGCGCTGTCCGGTGGGGTTGCTAGGGGATTCGTCCCTGGCTCATGCTCGCCTGTAGCAGTGCGGTCTATTTGTATGATGAAACCCAATGATAGCGGTATACCCGCACAGGTACTATATCACGCAATATAGGGCTCATGGTGCAGGGCAAGTACTAGAAGAGGCCATCTATTGACACTGGTTGGCAGGTTTGTGAGGGCTGTCGCTCTACCGATAATAGAGAGTGGAGAAGGCTAGTGGGGGTCGTGCTGTAGTAGAGATGGCGAGGTATCATAGCTGGAGATATGGTACCGTAGGTGACTCTCTCTATCTTACTATTCACCGCGTTACAAAGGGTGAGTCCAAAGAGTGGTTTTCTCACTCAGCGGCCATCATCTGCAGCAGACACACCGGTACTGTACGAATACCGTACTGCACTGTAGGCACAGACGAGTACAGACGGGCAGCCTAGTATGGAAAGAAAGAAAAGAAAAAAGCCAGACTTGAGTGCTACTGGTACTACCGGTACTGTATGATACAAGTCTGATGACGATAAGCTTCTGCGAGGAGTGGGTGTGGGGGGGCATATAGACAGTGCGAGGTGGTTATGTAACATTGGTTTGGCGAAGATCGGGGAGAGGTTTGATCAAGGTTTGGGAAGGGCACACAAGTATCCTACTAGCCACAAATGTCCCTTTTCCCTTTTTCTAATTTATTCTTCACTAATTTATCTTTCTTGGGGAAATGCTTTCTTTCTGGTTGGTTCTTTATTTTTTCAATCTTTTTAACACCCGGTATCATAACTTTTCTTTTCTCTTCACCCTCCCGTTTTTCCATGAAGGCTATCCACATCAAGGCGCCACGGCTGCCAATGTCGCACCTTTTTGCTACGGTAGGGGTGGTACTAGCGGTGAAACCTAACCCTTAGCGGTCATATGCACCTCCCCACCCTAAATGTTCCCACACCACACCCACATTGTCTTCCGGGTCGTTGCGAAAAGTATTTAGCGGGCCACAGAATAACAGCCCTGCTACCCTAGAGCACAAGCATAGGATAGGCAAGGTATTATTCCTGTGTCTCATTAACGCCCGTCCGTCGCTCTTCCTCCTCCTCACTCTTCCCTCTCTCCCTCACTCTTCCTCTCGTTCTCTGCTTTTCTTCATCACAACCTCAACCACCAACCATCACCCATCTTTAAACAGAGAGGAACTACTTCCAACCCTAGCTACTGTACTGTGCCTCTCCCTCTCTATATTTGCATTTTCCATCTTTAACTTCATTCATCCCTACTTCCTTACCCCCCCCCCCCTTCCCTCTCATTCTTCCCACCTCTGCCTCCTGTTCCCTCTATTCTTCTGGCTCCATAAAGCAACTCTTAACACACACTCACACACGGCAGCAAAAAAAACAAAAAACAAGATAAAAGGAAAAAAACAAAAAAAAACACGTCTATCATTACGCACGTCAACCTACGGCCGTCCCTGGTGAGTCTCCCGCTCCTCGAAGCCCCCTCCTTCTCTACCACGCCCCTCTCCCCCTCCCCTCACACCTCGTCACCTCTCATTTCCACCATCACACAAAACCTTTGCCATCACAGCGAATATTCTTCGTTAATCTTCTGTACTGCAACACGAAACTTACACACCTATTTTATCCTAACAGTTTCTATTCATTATCTATCCGACAATCCAACCTTCATCCTTGCCACCATCGCCATCTTCATCGCTGTTTCGTTCCTGACCATCATTACTGCAATTCCCTATTTGATCGTTAGTCGTTAGCCTTCTGCTCATCTTCCTCCGTCGCAATTTTCTCTCGCGGAGCGTTTACGGGATCGGACGCTGTCGCGCTTATCTCTGCGCAATCCGTCGGCAATCGCGTGTGCCGGTGGTGGTTGTAAAATCGTGTTTCATCAACAACCCTGAACTGTTTCCCCGCAGATATTTGGCGGCCACAATTTTGGACCCTGCATATCGCGATTCACTGAGCATCAGCCCCGAATCGCCCTTTCACACAGCTTTAGCACCCCCCCTGCTGAATGTCCACAATGTACTCATCACATCGCGGGATGGTACCTGCCCCGAACAGCCGCTTGACGGAGCTTTTGGAGCAGGTCCGACAGGAGTTTGCGGAGCAGCAATCTAGGTCCAGCGAGTATGAGCACAAGAGTACGTTTCCCAAATTATCAATTGGTGCCTAGATTTAGCGTTAAGCTAGCGGATGCGAGCGTTTCGACCGGATTGATATGTTTGCTGACATCGCATTAGTTCAGCAGCAGATTCAAGAAATGGATCTGGTCAGACAGACAGTTTTCCAATTAGAAGCAGCCCATGGTGCCATGAAACAAAAGTGGGTTTGCTCCCCGGCTGTTTGCCGTCTCCAATTGTTTTCGAGTATGCATACAAGATGCCGGGGTAGGATTGATAACTGATATATCACGTTTTAAGGTATGAGGACGAAATCGCTCGGCTTAATCGAGAGTTGGATGCGCGTGGCGGTGCACATGTTCCACCGCATGGCTCCCAAAATGCTGGCCCTTCTGCCCAACCTCCTCCACCTTCTCTCCCAGCTGGTGCCGGTCTGTTTGTGGGTATCATGACGGGCAACAACGGACAGGGCGGCCCAGGGCTCGTACCACCGCCGCTACAAGAATCCCACCCGCAAGGAGCTCATCATTCTATCCCCCCCCCCACCTCCCTCCCCCAACAAGTTCCACCGAGCCAACCACCTCAACAGCTTCAGCAGCAACAGCAGCAACAGCAGCCCGTATACCCACCAAGCTCGTTTGTCAATGGTAAGAAACACTTCGTTTCCTCACCACATAACACCCTCCTCAACTACTCATTTGATTTCCCCTAATTACCCCTCCCGCTCGAAAATACCTATCTCTTATAACGGACTGGCTCCAGTGCTAACTTTTGCTCGGGGTACTTTTAGGTAGTTACGGGAATCCAGCACCTCAACCTACGGCCTCTCCCGGGCCTGGTAAGGGCAGGCGTCCCGGCGGACCGGGCGGGCCAGCCACCCCACAACAAAATCAACCACCAAACTATAATTCCGACCCACGGAGCTCCCCACAAGTTGCCCGTCCGCGATCACCAGCCAGCTGTCTTGGCGATCTTGAATACGATAGAGTACCTCCTAACCAGAAAAAGGAAGGGCCTGATTGGTTTGCAATTTTCAATCCCAAGGTTTCTCGGCTTTTGGATGTCGATCTGGTCCACACTCTGGAGCACAATAGTGTTGTGTGTTGTGTAAGGTTCAGTCAGGACGGGAAATATGTTGCCACTGGTTGTAACCGAAGTGCTCAAATTTTCGATGTTAAAAGCGGAACTATGGTCTCCCGCTTGCAAGACGAGACGGTCGATAGGGATGGTGACCTCTATATCCGAAGTGTCTGCTTCAGTCCCGACGGGAGATACCTTGCTACAGGAGCCGAGGATAAACAAATTAGAGTATGTACCCCTCCCCACCTTTGAGTAGCCTGGGGAGCTTTGAGATATACGTTGTATTGACAGTTACTTATCTTCGAATTTATAGGTGTGGGATATCCAGAACCGTACGATTAAACAGACTTTCCATGGTCATGAACAGGATATTTACTCCTTGGATTTTGCTCGCAACGGAAGGCACATTGCTTCCGGTAGTGGCGATCGCACTGTTCGGGTGTGGGATATTGAATCCGGTCAAAATGTTCTTACTCTTAGTATCGAAGATGGGGTAACCACTGTCGCTATCTCTCCTGATGGTCGGTACGTTGCAGCAGGCTCTCTCGATAAGAGTGTTAGAGTCTGGGATGCTCAGACCGGCTACCTGGTTGAGAGGCTCGAAGGCGCCGAAGGTCACAAGGATAGTGTGTACAGTGTAGCCTTCGCTCCTAATGGAAGAGACCTGGTTTCTGGTTCTCTTGATAAGACGATCAAGATGTGGGAGTTGTCGGCGGCGAGAGGGCTTATGCCAGGTGGAGGTACTAGCCGCGGCAAATGCGTCAAAACCTTTGAGGGACATAAGGTTAGTTTCGGAGCTTCCCTGGCGAACGCTTCCCGCGGGGTTGGGGCCGGCCGCGGGGTTCGGCTAAGGTCCTGCTCGGAGATGTAGACTGACCTGGCACTACATAGGACTTTGTTCTTAGCGTCGCCTTGACACCTGATGGAAACTGGGTTTTGAGTGGCTCGAAGGATCGTGGTGTGCAGTTCTGGGATCCTCGGACTGCGAGTGCGCAACTCATGCTACAGGGTCACAAGAATTCTGGTAAGTTTGAATATCGAGCGTTCCCCTGGCGAGGTTTCCCCCCAATTGTCCGCAAAATCCATCTCGGGGCATGGGATAGGGGGGGCGGTTGGAACCGGTTTTCTTTCTGTGATAGTTTATTTTCATGGAGTTTGTGGCTGACCTTGTTTCCTTTTGTCATTGGAATAGTTATCTCTGTCGCTCCAAGCCCTTCGGGTGGTCTTTTTGCAACCGGTAGCGGTGATATGCGTGCGAGGATCTGGAGGTTAGTCTACATTTTCCCTTCCAAACTATTTCACCTTTTTTTCTTTTTCGACCCAGGCCCTATATGCTTTTTTATCTTCACCCAAATTTCTTTTTCTGTTTTACCCCACAAAATTGGGGGGCATGAGAACGCCCCCACGTGCGGTATCCATACTGCTCCAAGTCTGGCTTGAAAACTTAGTAATGCTGCTGACATGGGTAACAATTGTTTCAGCTACGAGCCATATCACTCACAATCTAATCCCCTATAAGGCTGGGCGAAAGTATTGGTATCTGGACGGTTGGCGTGGCGGGAGATTTGATACGCTGCATGCCCTGAAAAGTAGTCACCTGTGCAGGGTTTTTTTTTTTTTTTTTTTTTTTTGAAAAAACTGAAACTGAAACACTTCTAAAGGTTCTGCTGTCGTTTTTAAGGGTGACAGTTCTCAATGTATTTTCAAACTAAGGTTTTTTCATTTAGGGTTCTCAAATGCTGTAGGTATTTGTATTTTTGGTTTGTTTTGTTTCTGTATTTCCCTTTTCATTTTCCTCCTTTTTTTTTTTTTTTTATGCGGTGATGTATGGTGGTGGATGCGGGGGGAGGTTGCGGGAAGGGTGCTGATGAGGTTATCAACTCCCGCAGCCCCTGGAATCATGGGATGAACCGCACTCTGCGAAACCACTAAACAAAGAAGGCGTCTATTCTGTGTTAATGAGAGGACGAAGTTATTGGTGTGAGAGAGAATTCGAGTAACCATTGTCAGGCGACGATGTTTTTTTGGGATGGCGGATTCATCTTTTTTTTTTTCTTCCTCCATCATATTTCTTTTATATTCCTTTTATATTTATATCTATTCTTTACTAACAGCTAAGACTATTCCCTTTTTCTGTTTTCTCTTGGCAATTGTACCGGAGGAGCTCTTTGCTGTAGAGAGGGGAAAGAATGCAAGAGATTCGTGCTTTGAAGAGAATTCGCCAATGCCTCTGATATTACATCATTATTTAGATTGTCATGGGCTACGCCCGGAAGGTCTTTTGAAGAAAGTATGGTTCCTTCAGTTGAAACAAATGAGGAGGGTTCTAAACTGAGAACTTATCCTCCCACCCCTTGGATGTGGTAAAGGGCGATGGGATCGTACTCTTGAGCCACCTAGATAGCAAGATATATCATACTCGTGTGCACCACTAGCCTATCGAAGTATGGTTCCGGACGTCTAAAGGGTGCACCAAATATTTTGTAACAGAGGACGCCTTGGCATAAAATTGCTTTGTAGAAAGTGTGACATAAACTCGAAAAACTCGCTATGCACTGATTGTGACATTCAACGGCAAGGCACCGGGGGTTAAGGGTAAGTGAGGCGAACTCGGTCGGATTGGCTGACGTAAGGAGCCAGTAAGAATAGTCCGGCATATAACACATGGCTTTTAGTGCTATTGGTGAGAAATCATGGTGTTATTATAGAGGTTTTTTTCCATGATTGTGCTATCTTGAGCTCAACTTATCCAAGTATCACGATGAAAAACAAGGGCCGCCGTGCAGATTATGCCATGCCAGGAGACCGATGACGCCGTGAAACCACCCGGGATGAGCGGTTACAGGTAGTAACACTGAGGGATAAAGCTGGAACGACCTGGAAGGTATGTAATTAATATAATCTCGGAAAATAGTATTGATCAAGGAGTAGAAAATTGCGGAAAAGGTAGACATAGATTTTCGGACATGTCAGAAGATTTACCAAAGAATGATACTTTATGGCTCACCCTCAAATCAACATCATGTGGGATGTCCAGTCCTCTTGATGATGCCGAGAGGCGGTGGGTAGTTGAGTTTGTCACACAAGACACTTGTACCCGGCGGTTGCAATGGGAGGAGGTGATCATGGAAATGGGATATCAATGTTCTGTTTGCACAATCCGTGATGTGCTTACAGGTATGGGATATCATAAAAGGGTACCACGCAAGAAGTAAGTTTGGTACTACTTTTAAGAGTGTAATTTTTTTATTTTAATTCTTAATTTTCCAAAGGCTAGACTGCAGGAGGGGGGGTGAATACGTTCATATTTTTTTATATAACTAATAATAATTGTAGAAAAACTAGTATTAATTCTGATGGTAGATGGAGTATATGGGCAAAGAAGAAGCCATTGCAAGTGCAATGGTGTCAAGAGCAGGGAGGGTGGAGTGATGTCACGAAGGTGGCTTGGCATGGAAAAGGTTTTCACATGACTCAAGATTATAAGTCATACCGTCATGAATGTGGCTTGGCGAGGAAAAGGTTTTCACGTGACACATAGTTATGAGTCACAGGTATGTTATTAGTTATGTGTGGGATTTGTGATGCTTTTGCACATGGCTCAAATATGAGTCATGGGAGTGTGCCTGGCAAGTATGCCTTGCGAGTGTGCCTTGTGGGTAGGCCTTGCGCATATGATTTATGTTTCGCACATGACCTCGTTATGAGGTCATGGGTTTCACACATATGACTCAGTCGAGTCATATGTCATGTTTATTGTATTATGATTGGTTTATGAGTTTTTGCACATAACCTCGCAATGAGGTCATGGGTTTTGAGCATGTGACCACTTTGCTCACATGACTAGTTTATTATGATTTGGTTTCACACATGTGACCACTTTGGGTCACATGACTACAGGTGGGAAGAACACTAGATCAGGAGGCCGATGTGGTCGAGGAGGATAGGTTCTTCACGCTTTGTTCTAAGTACTTTTCCTACTTCTTGCACTCCATGTCGGAAGTGAGTATAACCAATCCTTTACCTTATTTCGCTCATGATAAATACTTCATCTACTGTTACTTGTTTGTGTTTTTCGTTTCAGGCGGTCAGTTAGAAGTAGTTGTTCTCGCTTAGAAGATACTTCAGTGTGAGATATCTGTGGCCTGGTCCTGGTAATCACTGAGTATAGTTTGGGCGAGGATGGCGTCTTCGACAGCCTCCTCCTCCACGGATTCTCCCCCCCCTTCGAGGATGTCGTCCCCTGTTCGGTTCGACTCCAACCCCTCCTCCTCGCTTGAGACAGCCCGTGCAGCCCTGTCTCTTGCACCTGCTACCGAGGCTGGCCGTGGCCTCATCCCTACAACTACACGGTCATATGTTGCACCCAAAGGAAACTTTAATTTCTTACAGTTTCACCACTGTCACGGGTGTCGGAATGTGGTGAACTCGCAGTTTGATGATCTGGTTCGGCAAACGGTCGCTGACGCGATCGTCGCCACGATGAAAGAAGTGGAGGTTTTGGTGAGAGGTTTCCTGATTGGGAGAGGTTGTTCAGCCATGTGTGGCTTGAGCAAAGACACTACCACAGGGCTCTTCGTTCGGTTCAACTTGGACCGTGGCTCGGAATACTCTTCAGCCCCCGCACCTTCCCCTCCCAAAGACTCTCAGGCTGTAGTCCCTGAATCCTCCGTTTCCCCCGCCAAGGACAACTCGACTGCAGCTACAGTTGAGGCCAGCTCCTGGTCCGCTACTCCTCCCCTCGCTAGGGCTGTCCAAAGCAAGATGCCCAGCTTCCTCCGCCGGACCAGGACCAGCTTTTCGACCCCCTCCTTTCTGGCAGGAATGTCTTCAGGAGAAAGGGCTCTTTACGAAACCCTGAAGTTCAAGCTAGATGACCCTGATGACGAGGATTACAACCCTCCTGCCTCTGGAACACGCCGCCGGACATGGTCGGCATCTCCCATTAAGCGATCTGCTGCTCCTCTCCTTGGTCCCCAATTTTTGTGGGCTATCAACATCGATGAGGGATGGAAAAAACAGATTGTTCCCGCTCTTCCTGGCCTGCCCCTAGGCGTTCACCAGGGGCGCCTAGCCATCCCTCCACCTGTGGTACTCCCATCGACAATCGAGGCCACACCCCTTTCTCCATTCCCGCTAATGACTGAGGATGTCCTGCCCACCTCTGGGGTGATGGCTAGAGACACCCCTATGGGCCTGGGGGAGGGGCGCAACTCGGAAGTGACTGGTTTGGATGACAGCATACACGCCCCTTTACCAGCCATGGGTTCATCACCTCCACCTATTTTTGAACGATGGGTGTCACCTCCCGAAGGCCAACTGGAGGGCCTCGTGGAGACCCCTAGTGATGATTCAACCCTGTTGGAAGTTCAGCTCCCAGAAACCCAACCAGAGGATGCCGACACTATAGTGGCCCAGGCGGACTCGATCATGGCAGGTGTCTGTAAGATGCTGGATGCTGATAGGACTCCATCTCCTGGACCCCGCTCGGGTAGTGTATTCGGGTCCATGTTGGAATATCTGGAAGACATCCGGTCTGGTAATACTCAGCCTCTTCTCTCCTCGGAGTCTGGGTCGATTGAAGACGACACAGTACAGGACATACAAACTTGGATGAACAGTAGCACCACCTTTGACGATGAAGGTCTAAGGAACGGGATAAACTACTGGAGTTGAGTTCATGTCTTGGAACGGGCAGTAAAAGCACTAACTGACATTGTTGGCAGGCAAGGGGAGGAAATTGAAGCCCTCCAGGTAAGGTTGTCCCCGAGCCACCACTCCTCCCCAGCTGTACCTCACGGTACCTCCGATGTTTCTTCAGAGCCTACCCTACCATCCCCTACCCCTGAGAGAAAGGAGGCCTCTAAGGAGGCTCCTACTGCTAAAGCCTCCTTTACGGAGGTAGCAAAACGAATGGAATACGTGCCCAAGCCCCATGCTGGCCTACAGGAGCGGGTACCTCCTGCTTGACCCACATCAGTGGCCTCATCCCACCAGTCCAACAGTAGCAGCAACTCCTCCAGTGAAGGGGGGGTAGTCTTGCGAGTAGCCCGTGAAGGTGAAGGCAAGTCTGTTCACTGGGCAGAAGAGGAGGGGGAGGAAGAAGATAAAAAGAAAGAGCGAAGGAAGCATGGCAAACGCCTGAGTGGTGGTGCCAGCAGGAAAAGAAAGGCTACCAGAGAGGCTGGTCAAGAAAGGGAAGCGGCAACCCCGGCCAAGACTCAGGGGAAGGCTGATAAACAGGAATCGGCTCCAAAGGATGCGATACCTGTTATTACGGTGGATCAATCTGGGCTAGCAGCCCTGGCCAGTGTCAAAGTAGGTGTGGCTCAGACACAACAGGAATACCGATGGGTACCAATGGGACCCCCAGACCCACTAAACTCGGTACTACCACCACCGCGCTCGTCGCCAACCCCAAATGCTAGAGGGAGGCACATCACTATACGCTTCGCCACTTGAAAGAAGGTTGCCCTGCCAGAGGGTGTCGATATTGAGGCAATCTGAAATCGGATCAATGTGACCTTTTCCAATCAGGGCAAGATTCGAGGAAATGCTCGGTATATTCGCGCAGGGCATGTCTGGCCGGAAATTGGATGCATCTTCCTGACTTTGGCAGCACACTCCGTAATGGAGCTGGGCAACAGGTTAGACAAGGCCAGGCTTGATCTGCTTAGGGAATTGTCACTCCCGGAATTCGAATTCCAGAGGAATCTAGAAAAGGTGAAGATTTTTGTTTCTGGTGTCCCACTTGCTGACACAGGACGGGGATTGATCTACAGGGTGGAAGGATGGACTGGAAGCGCGGCTTATGACGGCCTTCGCACTGATTTGCAGTAATCCAATACTGGTATAGTCACTGTTTCCCAGCCCGATATTATGGGATCCATACATGCCATGAGGCAGGCCAATGCGATAAGTTGCGGCATCCGCTTCGTGGTGGAAAATAATGAGGCCATCAAGGAAAGACTGGCAGAGGGAAAAATTTGGT